TTTGCAGTGTACTCCCCTCAACTCTTCGCTGCACACCAGAGCTTTTCTATTCATAGCTCAAGGTCCAGTCGTGATTTCCCTTGTTGTTACCACTGAGCTCTGATAACGACCATCACCACTCTCGAAAGGGCCTGCTCTTCTGCTGCCCCGAAATCGGTGATTTCTGCTGAAGTAATTAGCAAGGAACAGGCAGTACGAGGAAGAAACAGAAGAAGAAGAAGTAAAAGTTCTGACATTTCTGCACGGCGAGCTAGAGAAGAGCAGAGCGCGTCCTAGCAACCAGCCTCCGAACTGATTCAGCCAACCATTCGTCATCGGCGATTTGCTTCCTCTGCCACCACTGCTACCACTACCGCATCATTACCAAACTTTCCCCTCTTCAATTGAAGTGAAGTGAATCGAGCAGACAGCAAAAATCTTCCACTACAGCCACCACCACTACAACTACTTCAGTCGATTTCTTCTGCCTACACTCGACCAGTCAGAACTTTGTCAGTCACCTGAGAGGAAGCATCTCTCCCTCTTTTCATTTTTCTGCTTCAAACTGGCAACACAACAACTAGTAAATCAACACAACTGTAACATCGCCTTCACCCGCTGCATGCAAATATGAGCACTCGATTTCCGGCGCTCGATCCGCAATACAGCAGCAGCAGCAGCAGCAGCATTCTGGTCATGCGGACCAGCGGATTGTTCCGACTCAACGGCTGCGGCTACCTTCTCCCTCGCCGTTGCTGAAGTGAAGAGCNGGCTGCGGCTACCTTCTCCCTCGCCGTTGCTGAAGTGAAGAGCTATCTTTACTACCATTCAGTGTGTGTTTATCGCCATCACCACCACCAACACTAACTGTTATCATCACGAGAACAGCAGCATCGTCGCTGTTGCACATTTTTGCCTTTCGTCACTTGTTGTACTTTTCTTCTCCATCACTCACCCAGTTCCGTNCTCGCCATATCTAGCTCTATCTTTACTACCATTCAGTGTGTGTTTATCGCCATCAACAGCACCACAACCACCAACACTAACTGTTATCATCACGAGAACAGCAGCATCGTCGCTGTTGCACATTTTTGCCTTTCGTCACTTGTTGTACTTTTCTTCTCCATCACTCACCCAGTTCCGTCGCCTTCACTTTGATCAACAACTTTCCGAGTGGCAATCCCCCTCATCACCCATTACTTTATCAGCGCATCGAACACTGGCTCGTGTCAGCTGTTCCCCACCAACAAACACAGAGAGAGTCTTGCAGTCGTTGTTTTCCCGAGAAACAGGCGTCATCGATTCTCTCTCTCTCATCTAACCAGCCTCCGATCATCAACCACAACTACAACTGAGCATCATCAACTGCAAAACAAAGCAATCGACAGCCATTACCAGTAAATCATCATCTTCATCCTCTCTTTCTCTCTCCCTCTCCCTCATCTCTTTCCAAAGTCCTCGTCCATTCAACATGCTGGCATCATTTGTCGACCATCCCCACCACCACCACCACCGTCACCACCGTCAACCCGAGCACCTTCTCTCGCCACTGCTCTCCATAGGCAACTACGATGAAAGTGATCGCTCGTCTGAAGTTCCCAAAACACTAACCTTTCGTTATCACCACCGCATTAATCTGCGCCCAATGACTAAACGTTTTAAGTGCTCCTCCTTACTGGTGTTACAGTAATATTATTATTATCATGTGCGTGTCCTAGCATCTCCTCAACTCTCACTACTTTCTCAACTACAACCACCACTCCACCACCAACCGCAATCATGAATCTATTCAGTGAAACATTTAGCTGATATCAGCTAGCGCAATCTCTCTGTGCTCTCATCTAATCACACGCCCACCAGTCTTTAATATACTTCATCTTTTGTGATCACCTGTTGTGTTTTCTTTTTATTCTGTTTTTTCTCTCTACCACCTTCCTCCTTCATTCTGGAAGTTTCTCGATCACCTTCTCAACCATCACCACCACTTTTCCACCATCAGCAATAAGAGTTATTGGCAGTGACCATCAGTTGTCTTTTCGNATCTAATCACACGCCCACCAGTCTTTAATATACTTCATCTTTTGTGATCACCTGTTGTGTTTTCTTTTTATTCTGTTTTTTCTCTCTACCACCTTCCTCCTTCATTCTGGAAGTTTCTCGATCACCTTCTCAACCATCACCACCACTTTTCCACCATCAGCAATAAGAGTTATTGGCAGTGACCATCAGTTGTCTTTTCGCTACCTAATCGATTGATTGATAACAGAGGAAGAAGAGGCAAATCACGTCACAGTACCGCAATAGTATTATCAAACAGACAAGCAAGCAAGCACATACACACAATTACAGAAGATATTACCACCGAAGAGAAAGAGTGGGTAAGTTCAAGGTTTGACTGGCTGTGTGCGGATTGCCGAGGCGGCACACACACATGTCTTCGCATGTTTTGGCGCACGCCCGCATCACATTTGCCAACATTACTAACACACACAGAGTTATCAACTGTTGTATACGTCTTCTTCTCCCCTAGGTTGTTGTTGTTACATTAGAAGACGTGCAAAGTGGTCGTCGCCTGAACGAAGTCTTCTTCTCCAAGTTCACCGCCATCTCCTTCTAACCTACTACTACTACTACTACTATTTACTCTTGAGTTGTGTTGGTATCACCATCTCCTCTGCTCAAGACATTCAGTCATCAGTCAGTCAGTTATCAGACATCGACAGTCAGTCAGGCAGGCTTCTTCTTTGCCTTCTTTAACTTTGTTTCTGCTAAACACCAGCTAAACACAACAAAACACAGCACCACTTCCTTACTGACTTTTCACACTGTTGTTGTCCTGTTTATCGCAGCAAGTCCAGCGAAGACAGAGTAGTAGAAAAGGAAGAAGCTCAACACTTCATTTGACCACAGTGTCTTCTCTGAGTCTCCTGAAGCTCCCTCAGCAGTCAATGGCGGCAGCCGTCGCGAAGCGTCAGCACTCTCGCCGACGTCTGGCCGCGCTCACCTTTCTCTCGAACATCAGCCTGGANACAACAAAACACACAACACCACTTCCTTACTGACTTTTCACACTGTTGTTGTTTGAAGCAAGTCCAGCAGAGATAAAAAGAAAAAGTAGTAGAAAAGGAAGTTCAGCACTTCAACTTCGACCACAGTGTGTTCTCTGAGTCTCCTGAAGCTCCCTCAGCAGTCAATGGCGGCAGCCGTTGCGAAGCGTCAGCATTCTCGCCGACGTCTGGCCGCGCTCACCTTTCTCTCGAACATCAGCCTGGACGGCTCCCACCGGGACACCAACCTGGGGCTGATTCTCAATGTGAACATTCACGCGGTGGCGCCTCACAGTCATCACTCCCAGCACAACAGCCAACAACAGCAGCGAACAGTAGGCTCTCGCAGTCGCCTCTCCTCCTGCACCGAGCACGACATTGCCAGCGGTCTGGGTAAGCTTTTGACATTGCTAAGATTACTTTTCATTTGTGGGTCTTTCCCACCACCAGTGACACCAATAACACTTGTCCCACTTTTTCTCTGCTGACGACACAGGCAACCACAACAACAACAACAACGGTCAGAACAGCTATGGAAGACATCACCACGATGGGGTGCCGCCCCCGCTCACCAATCCCGTGGAGATTAAAAGAAGCGGTGGAAATTCTAGTTCGATGCAGAAGCGCCGAGAGGAGTTCTTTGGCCACGGACGGTCCATTACCTTTGACGATGCCAGCTACCCTACCGGCGGCGGTGGCGGCGGGGGTGGAAGTCACAAGACGTCCTCTTCAGTGTACTCCGCCGGCTCGTCCTTCTCCTCGGAGGGCTCACCGCCGACGCCCCCTCATCACCACTACCTCATTAGCATTGACCATGCTGATGATGACGATCACCACCACCACCTTCACTCTAGAGATGTCCACCTGGACGAGGAGGGGGAGGAGGCAGAGGCGGAAGAAGAGGAGGAAGCTGATTTAGTGGACCTGGATGGAAAGCTATCGGTGGGCGGCAGCGTCGGCTGCTGTGGCGTCAAGACGGCCGTCTCATCTGCCTCTTCGGTGTCCTGCTTTGAGTGTCAGCAGCAGCAACAGCAGCAGCATAACCTCAGCAATGTCAGCCTGAGCAGTCGCCTCTCTGGGCTGAACAACAGCAGCCAGCAGACGGCTGACCAGCAGCAGAGTCGACAGCTGCTCCGACCGGACCGGTGAGTACCCGAGTTAAACAAGCCGCCTGATTTGTGCTAACCAAAGAACCATTTTCTATTTTTAGCATGCACCAGTCGGGCGCCAGCTTCTCCAGCACCAACAGCAGTCTGAATGAGCAGGTGCTGCCCTGCTGCCCCGGCACCACGGCTGAACAATCGGTGGGAAATGGACAGCTGCCGGTGGCAGTGGTGTCCACCACTAGCACCCTCTGCAGTAAGCACTCTAAACAGCAGCCCCCTCCCTTTGGCAGCGTGGACAACCTGGGCGGCCGTCTGGGCGTGAGCAACAGCAGCAGCAACAGCTACCTCAACCAGAATCAGCAGCCGATTGCCCATCTAAACAGCAACCTTCCCCACCACCACCACCACCAGCACCCCAATCGAGTGCGGACGACGTCCTTCAGCTCCTACCGGAGCAGCTCGTCGCAGCAGCAGCTGCAGCGACTGGCGGAAAATAGCGGCGCCAGCAATGGTGGTCAGGTGCTGCAGACGCGCTGCAATCGCAGCTACCACGACCACAGCTGCTGTCTGACGCGCAACAAGGACATCATCAGGGACGAGCGGATCGTCTTTGTCACCGCGAAGACGCGCGGTCCCNCAGGTGCTGCAGACGCGCTGCAATCGCAGCTACCACGACCACAGCTGCTGTCTGACGAGGAACAAGGACATCATCAGGGACGAGCGGATCGTCTTTGTCACCGCGAAGACGCGCGGTCCCATTGGCATCTTCTCCTCGCTCTCCAGTGGAATGCACTCCTCGAAGCGACCTGGCGGCGGTTCGCGCGATCACTACCACCACGGGTCAAGGTACGTACAAATTTTTTTAATTGTTGATGTGTCTAATCGTTTTCTTTTTTGGTAGAAGCGACCACTCGGCCAAGGAGGCGACCATCAGCGGCAGCGGCAGCAGTGGCAGCAGCGGCAGTGACCGTGGCGGCATCGGCGGCGGCGGCGGCTCGCACCACCTCAACTCGAGCAACAAGCGCCACACACGGTACATCTCCGGCAGTCGGCAGTTGTCGACCATAACCGACGGCGAGCCGCCCAATCTGCTCGCCCAGCTCGGCTTTGAGGCCGTCGGCGAGGAGGAGGTCAGCTTCAAGGGGCTGCTCGTGTCGCGGCTGGACCAGCAGCTGGCCGCCGGCGGGGGCCGCCTGCCTAATACCATTCCCGAGGCGATCGCCTACAACAACTCCATCGTCATGAATCGCTCCAATACGCTGGTGGGCGCGGCGGCGGCTGCGGCCACGGCAGCTGCGGCGGCTTCTGCCGCTTCGGCGACGAATACCGGCGCCAGCTTTCCGCTGTCGGCGCCGGTCCTCTCGCCAACGACCATCAGCGGCGGAGGGTCGCCCTTTTTAGGAGGTGGTAACTCCTTGGCTGCTGCTTCTGCTGCTGAAGCGCCGCAGATGAGCACCAGCGTGGGCACCAATAACGAGTCGATGGTGTCGCTCAGCTCGAGTGCGGCCACCGACTCGCCGGCACCGACGCCCCCGCCCCCTCAATATCAGCACCAGCCGCCGCCGCCCCACTCTGCGCCGGTGNGATGGTGTCGCTCAGCTCGAGTGCGGCCACCGACTCGCCGGCACCGACGCCCCCGCCCCCTCAATATCAGCACCAGCCGCCGCCGCCCCACTCTGCGCCGGTGGTGGACTGTTCGAAGGTGAACTGGCCGTACTTTGCAGCCACCACCACCAACTTTCCCACCAGTCTGCAGGAGATTGTCTACCACCCCTATCTGCTGGATGATCCGGAGCTGATTGCCGGCAAGCACAGTACGCTGCTCACCTTTCCTGCCTTTATGGTAAGAACTGTTTGATGGTGTGTTTTGAGACGGTTTTATTCATCACCTTTTCTACTTCCACCTTAGACGTCCATCATTGACTACGTGAAGCCGCAGGACCTAAAGAAGGAGCTGAACGACAAGTTTCGTGAGCGCTTTCCCTACATTCAGCTGACACTGAGCAAGCTGCGCTCCATCAAGAAGGAGATGTGCAAGATTGCACGCAATGAGGTAGGTGACTTTGCTCGTTTAGGATGTCTTCTGTTTGTTAGTGTGTGTGTGTGTGTGTGGGTCATTCTTTATCCTTTTTAGGGCAACTTTTTAAGAGAGGAGTTGACAGTGGGCAAGGGTTTTGTGATGAATGTTTGCGTCATCTGTCGCTTTACTTGACAGCATTTTAATTTTGTTTTGCCCCGCTCTGCCAATTAATTTTAGCATAACGGTTCATACCCTTACTGTGCGCTTTACATTTAATTTGAGCGTTTTTAAATTGAACTTTTGACTAATTAGCAGCAATGAATGTGCAGTGTCACTTTGGGTGCCATTGTCTATAGTCTAGTGTTTGCTATTGTG